TGTTCGTACGAACTCAGTTTCTACTGTGGCTCTCTACCAATAGTCCTTCAAATATTTCACAAGAAGATCCTCCCAAATTCAGTTAGCTGCCAAGCCAAGTTGGTGTTGCCATTTCTTCCTGTGAAATGAACTTACTCGCATCTACTCGATCTGCATTTTTGTACTACTGGATCAAGTATTAACTAGTGTAACTATTAAAATCTGTACTACTTTACCAAACTCAGAATTTCTACTATGCAGGTCCTCTGCTCGTAGATCCTATCAAGATTTATTCATGTAACGTTATGTCTCTTCGAGTATCATGTCACACTTCCAATATCCGATTGATATTAGTACAATATGATTTACAGAGTTACAATTCCAGAAATGAACAGAGTTTACTGTAAGTTGGATACAAAGGTCTAGGTAATTATTCAAATTTGTCGACAGTAGGATTTGAACCCCAGACCTCTTACATGGCAGTCTGACAACCTAACTACTACACTAAGATCACTAGACCCATTATATTTTTTTATATTTTTTTACAGGTTGATATTGTTTTATATTTAGTTCTAATAATTAGCAAGAAGAGTTAATTGTTTTACAAAAAATTAAAATAATATATAAGATTATTCTATTTTTAGAATATTTTATTTTTATATTAATATTTGTATAAAACTTTATATATCAAATTTTTATATATATAAAAGTTTAGTTTAAGATTATCTTTTATTTTATACTAATAATAATTGTTATATAAAACAGAAAGTTTATATTTAATAGTTATACAAAGTATTATAATTTTTTAAATAGCTATAACTTTTTATTTAAGAGATTTTAAAAAAATCCAACTAGTAACTTTATAGAGCTATATTAGCTTTATATTTGTACTAAATATCTTTTCAAAATCTTATTATTGTAAAGAGTTAATACATTTTAAAAATTAAAATTTTATATATAATTTATTAATTTATATATAAAATTTTAATTTTCAAAATATATTAACTTTTTATAGTAATAAGATTTTGAAAAATATTTAGTATATATATAGAGCTGATATAGCTCTCTCTATAAAATTACTAGTTAGATTTATTAAAATTTTTTAGATAAAATATTATAGCTATTTAAAAAATTAAAATACTTTGTATAACTATTAAATATAAACTTTTTGTACTATACTATTAATATTTTTTTATTAATAAATTCTGAAGTTTTATCTAAACTATTTTATTTTAGATTTTAGTATAATAACTTGTTATATTATTAATAATATATTTGTTAGTTCTTACTTATTATATAAAACTTTTTATTATAATTATAAAAAAGTTAGAAAAAACAAAAATAATTACTAAAAAAATTATAATATTTTATATTTTTATATATTTATTTAAGTAGAAATATCTAATTCTAAAAAATAAATTTCTGTTAAAAGTAAAATTTTTTTTATATTAATAGCTTTATACTCTATAATATAAAAAAAAAAATATTTTTTAAAATAAATAGACAATATAAGAAATAAGCTTTGTTAATAATTAATAATCATTAATTTTTAATATATTTAGTAGAATTTAGTAGAGTTTACTTATCTATTTAATAGAATATCCAAAAAATATTAGTATAAGTCTAAAAAATAAATAATTTAATAAAAAAATATTATTATAATAAAATATTAAATCTTAATACTTAATAACAAACTTGATTTAAAGAAAAAATATAAGAATTAAATATATAATATATAGTTTTAATTAGTTAATTAGAATACAAAAAAAAATATTAGTTTAAATTTATTAAATAAATTCTGTAAACTAAATTATAATATTTTAAAGTTTAATTGTAGAAAAAAATATAATCTTATTTAATAAAAAATAAATTAATATAAAATATTAGAATATCAAACTAGAAAAAAAACAAATAATATATATATATTTTTTTTATATCTGATTAAACTTAACAAATATTAAAACTAGTTTAATAAAACAATAATATAAATAAGGATTATTTACTAAAAATCTAATAAAAAACTTTTTAATACTAAAATTAGCAAAGAATCTAAAATAAAAAGTAGAAAAAAAATATTAATATATTAAAACAAAAAAGAAAACTTAATAAAAAAATTTAAAAATCTTAAAAAAACTAAGTATATAAAACTTTAATATCTAAAAAGTTTTATATCAAATTGTTATATCTATAAAGTATTATATCTATTTAAATTAGATATAAAAAAGTTATTAAAATTTTTTAAAACTAGATTATAACAAATAATCTATTAGATGAATATCTAAAAATAATAAAAAAATTAGAGGTTTGGTACTCATAGCTTAGTAGTTAAACTACTAACTCTTTACAGACAAGATCAATAGCTCAAGACTGACTGGAGGTGAAAAGTACTCTGTAATCTTATTTAAGTATTCTATAGTTGAATACAAAGCTCTGTGAAAAGTTTATATGAAGTACAATGTTCAGAATAGAAATTATTAGAAACAGCTCTATTTTGCAGAAAGTTAGCACTATATGTAATAGTTAGTGTTATAGAAGTAGTTATATAGTAGTACAAAAAATAAGTTTATATTAGATAAGAGTATAGCAAGAACCAATATTATTATGTAATGTAATAGAATTAATTAGAAGGTTATACGATAACTAACAGAGTAGTAAGAGAAGTAGTATTATGCAAGATATAATTAAGTAATAAGATATTGGCTTTACTGAATACAAAATACCTCTAGTATATATGAAAACTTAAAAAAATAAGTTCTAATTGTAGAGTAAATATTTTATATACTGAGAATATATAATAATCTGAAATAGCTAAAAGCACTAAGCTAGTAGTAGAAATATAAACAGTATACAAGGATATATCAATATTAAACACTAATCTCTTCTGATAAAAGCTAAAAGTAGTACTATATATTACAAACCTAGTTGAAAGTAATCTCTGATTATGAAATATAGCCTGTACCTACCAATATACAAGAGTTCTCTAAAAGGTATATAAACATAGTATGTATATATAACTTAGCATATGTAAGTACTTTCATGTCTCAGTATTATGTAAATACTAATAAAGATACTCTTAAGCCAGAATATCTAAAATAGAAAATAACTATAAGGATCACAATGCTAACAATCTGTAATGGATAAAGACCTATTAAAAAGTAGCTTTGTATAAATACATAGGTGATGCAGAGAATACAGCTAGAACTTTAAACAGATAAGTTGTAGTATAATATAAATCTAAGATTATATAAATATGGGTTATACAAGTCTTAGTCAAGTATATCTCAAAGATAAATTAGTTCTAAGGTTATATATTTGGTTAAATACATTGTAATCATTACTTGTAATTAATTATAATAAATTTAATAAAAATATATGACCAAAGAGGTCACTTGTAAAAAAAAAAAAAAATAATAATAATAATAATAAAAAAATTAATTAATATTAAAAACTAGATAAGTATAAATACTAATAATAAAAGAAAATACTTATTTAAATAAAAAGCAAATAAAGATCTTAACATGGTTATAGAACTCTAAATAAGTAAAACAAAGAAATTAAAACTAAACAAAATCTAAAAAATTAGAAAAAAATATTATTAAAAACAAAGAAAAGCTAATAGTAGTTAAAACAATTTAATTATTTACTTGTAAGAGACTATAATAATAATTTTCAAAATTTCTAAACTACAAGAAAAAATTTAAATAAAGTATCTATAAAATACAAAATTAGTAAATACAATACAAAGATAATAAAAAATTAGTAAATACAATACAAAGATAATAAAAAATTCAAAATAAAAAAATATTAAACTTTAAATAGAAAAAAATAAAAGATATATTTATATTATATACAAATAAATCTCTACAAAGCTTTGAGTAGATATAAAAATATAACTACTAAATTAAAAGATAAAAAGAAAAAAAACATCTTTATTACTTATCTAAATAGATCTCAAAAAATCTTAGTATAATATCAGTTTAATTTTGACAAACTTTAAGATTTTTATATATAGTATGCATAAATTAAGCATAAAAGAATTGTAAAAGTTAATTTTAGTTATTCTAAATATACTACTGTCTAATATAGTACTAATTTTTGGATTTTTCTTATCTGAATTATTCTTATTATGTGTTAATAAAAATTATAAGATATATAAAAACTAAAATAATAAAAGAATAGATAGTTAGTATAATAATTATAGGAAGGATAATATTTATCTTCTTTATTTTTCTTATTATCTATATGTAAATTATCTATATAAATGATACCTTTTATCTTTAATAAAGATATCTTATTTTGAGAATAAAACACCTTTGCCTAAATAACTTCTGATACTAAATTTACTTATCTATAATTACCCTCTCTCTGATAATAAGAAATTATATTTATATATTAGATCTTTGACTTATTAGATATCAGAATTCAGATCATATACCATATAACCTCTAGTCAGAATAATCTAAAAATAGCCCTAAAACTCAGACCAATTTTTTTTATGCCATCTTTTAAGCTTTCTATTTAAAGTTTATTATTAGATTTGAGTTATATATTCAAACCTAAATCTTTATATAATATAGTATTTGATCAAATTCAAACCAGAACCAGTCTCAACTTCTACAGGTACTGTATGTGAAAATTCTTGCTAATAACTTCAGATAATTATATCAACTAATCAGATTACTAGAATCTACTATACGTACTAGAGATGTTATCATAATGTTTTAATATTACTATGTTTTTGGTTTATCATATGATAAAACTAATATAAATGATAAAACTAATGTAAAATATAAGCTATAGTTAAAATTAAAACTGATAAAATTAATATAAAATATATACTATTGTTAAAATATTAAACTGAAAGTGATAAAAAAATTAATTAAAATTAAACTATCATTAAATTTAAAATAAATCTTTTAATATCTTTTAAATCTAATTATATCATTATATCTTTCAAATATATCAAATAATAATAATTTAAATAAAAAATCAAACTCTAGTAGTTAACCTAGAGCAGAAATATGGAATGCATATATTGTTAGTAAAAAAATTAGAGATTTTTATTTTGCTCAATGTGAATATTGTTCAAAATATTGGTAATGAGAAGTACTAAATATAATAGAATTACATTTAGTTAATGAATGTACTAATTGTCTATAAGATAATAAGAATATTGGCAAGATAAAATTATTAATTAACCTAATTATTATCAAAGATCTTCAAATACAAAATAATACAAATTGACATATTTAGTTAAAACAAATAATATAGAATTACTTTCTATAAACTATTAAAATATATTAGATCATACTGTATTAAAAGCTTGAGTTAGATATAGTATATTATTTGAAATTATTAATAACTCTTTTATGCAAGACTTATTTTTATTACTTAATTCTGTATATTATCTACTTGGATATATAACATTATCTGATCAAATTCTTGATGAGAAAATTGTTAAAGTTAATAAAAAAATTCAACAATTTTTGAAAAATATAATAATTTAACTTTAAGTAAGTAAATTAAATAAATTCTTTTAAACAATAAATTATATTTATTAATTATTTATTAGCATTAGATAGATAGTCTTCTCTACAAGTTTCTTCAATATATAATTATATTGTTACTATAGTTGATCATAAAGAATATCTTGTTAATTAAAAGACTATTTTAATAAATCAAATACAGAGAAATTTTTAGCATCAGAAATAAGTACAATAATTACTTCAATTGGTCTTGAAAAATTTGCTGCAGTAGTAACAGATTCTGGAGACAATTGCAAAGTTATATATCAAATTACAAGCAATAATTATTCTCATATTTTGAATTTACATTGTATTGCTTATGCAATAAACTTAATTGCAAAAGATTTTATTAAAGTTATACAAGTTAAAACAGTTGTAGAATCTTGTGAATATATAACAAAATTTTTTAATAAATCACACTTATCTAATAAGTTAATTGAAGACAGAATTAATATATTAAAAATAAAAAGTGATAGATTACAAACTTATACAAAAACAAGATAGTGTTCTTTATAGAATATAACAGATTTAATAATATATTTGCAATCTGTATTTAATTAGGTAATTTAAATTTTTATAATTATAAAAATAATTAAATATTAGTTAAATTAATAAATATAATTATTTATATTTTTAATATTTAAAATATTAATTTTAGATTCAAATAAATTATGAAAATTGTTTAACAAATGAACTTGTAAAAAATCTAATTAATGATAATGATTTTTTTATAAAATATCATTATATTAATCAAGTTATATATTCAATAAAAGTTTGTATTGAAAGACTTGAAGCTCAAACAGCAACATTAGCAGATTGTTATATTAATATGCTAAAGTTAGCTACAGTAATTTATCAACTTCCAGAAACAAATCTATTTAAACTACAAATAATAAAAATTTATAATATACAATATAATATAAAGTTCTGATCTATTATCCATTTATCCATTTATCTATCAGATATCCAGATCTGAATTTATTTAGGTATCTGTTTTACTATTTATATCTGGATAATTATCTGAATATTTGTCAGATTATTCGAATACCAATAGTAAATAGATATTTGGATAAATTCAGATATGAATAAATGAATAGCAGATTTATCTGAATTGAAACTCAAATATATGAATTTAATCACACAATCAAACTCTTTCTGATGATCCTTTTTTCCAAAAATCCGAAAAAGCCAAAACAAAAATTTATTGGGGATAATAAAGAAGAAGATTCTTTTATAATACAACAGTTTTTATAGAGGTCAACTACTGCTTTCAGAAATTCCTCTATATATTTAACATGCAAGCTAAAAGCGATATTATACAAGATAACTGGCAGATAGAGCTCTTGTATAAAAAATTTTGTAAAGAGATGGAAAAGATGCTCTTTGTTAATGAAGTTATTAAAAAAAGATTTATGAAGTAGGGGAACAATAAATTATTTTGTCTACACACTCCCTTAGAACTTAGAAAACAACAATATACTGCAAGCTTTTTCACTCTAGTTTTTCTTTTTTTCAACAAAAAGTAGAGAATCTAGATTCCTACCTCCAAAAGATCAGCATTGTTTACTCCTTCTATTTTTAGAAAAACTCTATAGATATGCAACCTTATGCAGTAAACAAAGCTACATACTCTGTTTGGCAAAGTCATGTACTTTGTTTTTACAGAGTCATATACTTTGTTTATTGTTTAGTTTGTTACGTGACCTTGATACTATAGGTTCTAAATTCTGAAATTGAATTGTACATTAGAAAGAGAAATTCTTGAGATAGGTTATAAGTTGCACAACTTAAAATTTTTAAGCCTGTTCCAGGTTATAGGATATTTGGTTACTTTTTTAGTTTTTTATATATTTTATCTCTTTTTTTATGTTACTGCCTAACAAAGTTTTTACAACTTAGAGCAAGTTTTTCTTTGTTAGTAAGCTTAGTACTTTTAGATTAGTAACAATTTTTATTTTTTTATCTTGAGACTAGGTGTTAACTACTTGTAGCTTAGTGTTATGAGGGACCTAGGATCTTGATAAGGCTTGAAGTCACTTTTGTTAATTCAAGGATAATATATTCTTCGAGAAGAGTTACTGTGGAGAGAAAACTAGCTTCTGCAGCAGATCACACCTGAACACCAACTGGCAGCTGAGTAAATTCTGAATTGTAAATGGAGAGATATAGTTATAGCTTAGTTTTAGGACTTTTTATAATTTGTATCTATATATCATTTTGATATTTCTTTGAATAAATGATGGGTAAGATCGCTCAAGATAAAAAAAAAAAAAATATATGAATTTAATTATGAAGTATATTTATTAAGCTATTATTTACATCCATTATATTGTGGTCAGTAAAATTTTATTTTTATAAAAATTATTATAATTTTTATTAATTTATATATAATTAATTATTAGGATATAGTCTTAAAAATCAAATATTTTGTTTAGCATGTCTTATAGCTAGTAACTATTGGAAAGCTCTTGGACATAATCAAGCTGAATGCATTGACTTATTGGTTGAATTCCGTAAATATATTCGTTATAAAGGACCTATTAATATTGAGTTTATTATTCAAAATGAATCTTTGCTTACATAGTGGTTAACACATAATATAAACTATCAGACAAGTTTCAAAGATCTAGCTATTAAAATGTTCTCAATTGTGCCATCTCAAGTATCATGTGAACAAAATTTCTTTATTCTAAGATGGTTTTATGGTGATAGGAGAAATAGGCTTACAATTAAATGTATTGAATCTATGGCAAAGCTTCAGATGTATTGGCTTACAGAAATTCGAAATGAACTTGAATATTATGGAAAAAATTTAACAGAAGAAGAATTGTGAAAATGTGCTAATATAGCAACAACTTCAATTGATTTATCTTCGGAAGCAATTAATATACTTAATACAAATAATATATTTTATAATGATGAGAATGAGTCTTATATTATAAATCAAGATAATTCTAATTTCACTTCAGCAAATTCTGATATACATATAGTTTCTGAATCTAAACTTGATATTGAAAATATAGTAGATCTTACACTACCTTGCTTTAGTTTCAGCAATACAAATTTTGATTGTGAAAAAATTAGACCACAATCTAAATTAACATCAAGCAAAGGTCATGGAAATATGAACTTTGAAGTATCGAATATGTCTTGGGAACTGAAATCGATAATGTTTAGTTGCTAAATTAATGTAATGTAAAATGCTAGTATTATATTAAACATAAACAAATAATGCTAATAAATTTTTTAATTTTACGCCCTTATTGTTTTGCATATAAATAGTTTATTTGTTTTATTAGTTTAAGTTTTAATTGTTTTATTGACAAGTATAAATAGTTTATCAGTTTATATTTTGATAGTTTTTACAATTTAATTTAAACTTCGAAAATATAAACAGTATAAACCTTTAAAGTAGCTAGTTTGTATTTTAACGAATGTAGAAATGAGTTATGATGACATCCCTAGCGCTAGTACATCTCGAAATCGGGAATTAAATAAAACCGAAAGAAAAGGTTAAAACCCGGTTTGTCAAGTATTATTAAACCGGCCCGATTTAACCGAATTTGAAATTAAATTGTATGAACCAGTTCCGTAAAGGGAGAAAATGGACTCGGCTCGGATACTAGTCCGGGTAGATGGACTGACGGACTGCCAATATGAACCGGACCAATAACAGCCCTAATCAAGATATCTCAACAACAGGATATCTCACAATCAAATTTGAATGTATATTCATAAAATGAATAAAAAAATTCTATCGAATTTTTTTAAGCCGTTTCCGAGATAACTTGCTCAAATTCTTTAAAATGTTTAGCGCCAGTTATTATTAATTTAAAAAGATGTGATTATAGGTTATAGTTAAGTGTATCAAAAAAGTATGTGCAGGAGTATCAAAAAATTTTTGCAGCGCCAGCAGTTACTTTTAGAGTCGTATAAATTACTATTTCATAACGATAGACTTAATTAAAATGGTATTTGGAAAAATTATATTGAACCGGAATTTGAATGTCAAGGTTCAAATATAAACATTGAAAATATTTTTTGGGAAAAAATTTCATTTGTTTAATAATTATAAAACAACAACATATTACCTTTTCAGGCATTTTTTTTCAAAATAAAATGTTACATTACTTTTTAATGAATCGTAATAAAAAAAAATAACCAATGATGATTTCGTACCATATGCTGTGCATTCTTTCAGCTGCATTTAATAATGCATTAATCCAATTGGTTTATACTTTAGATAACTTTGCAGAATTATGATCATTGGAATTATTACTTTATTTATTTATACGAGTTTTTAAATATTTGCAAAAGATAACATTTTAAATTCTAAAAATAGTTATTGATACGTATTCAAATGAAGATTAACATTTTGGAAAAATTCTCGTTTTTTTTTTTTATATAGGAAATTTAGCTATCGCTAGAACGTATTTTTTTTTCTTGGCAAATAATACATAAGCATATTTTGGAAATATGTAACACAAATATTACGAAAAAGCTTAGTGGCGTTTGTAATCAATTAGATAACGGATATCTCTTGTATCTCTTGATATCTTATCGAATACATAATGTCGTGTAACAAATTCATGTGATTTTTTAAGTACATGTGTGCAGTGTAAAGTAATACATACATACGTATATCAAATCAAATCAAATTAATTATATAAAAAAAATCCAAATTAGATTTTGTACCAACTTTAGTGACTCATAAATGATTTTTTTTTGAACACGCAAACAAAAATTAATTAATTTTTTTTTAAATCATAAATTAAAGAAAAAAAAAGTAAAAGTAAAAAATGACTACCAAATTATTTGACCAACTTTCCAACGATTTATCAAATCTTCTTGATAATGGTGATGGATATAACATAATCATTGAAGTCGGTGAAGCACCAAATAACCAAATTTTTAAAGCTCATTCTATCATTTTAAGTTCACGATGTTCATACTTTCGTGAATTGGGTACAACAACTTATAATGAAAATAATATTACAATTATTAAAAAACCTGATATTTCAATTAAAGTCTTTGAAATTATAATTAGGTAGTGTACGATAATTAAAATTTTTAATTATAAAGAAATTAAAAAATTAATCGCTAATTTTAAGGCTAATTTTAAGGATTTTTTAATTTTTTATAAAGGTACATTTATTGTGGTATTATATTTTTAGAAAATGTTGATTCTTCAACAATCTTTGATCTTTTAGTCGCTGCAAATGATTTTGGACTTGAAGAGTTGGTCTTACATATTCAATTATATATTATTGAATCAGATGCTTCAAGGAATTTTACTCGAATTTATCAATTCAGTATTCTTAATGAAAATTTTAAAACTTTACAACAATTTTGTACTGAAATTATAGAAAATTATCCAAGTTTTATATTTGAATCAGATGATTTTTCAACTTTTCCTGAAAGTGAATTAATATCTTTATTAGAACGTGATGATTTACAAATTGATGAAGGAAAAGTTTGGGATTATGTAATTAGATGGGGAATTGCTCAAAATCCTAATTTAGATTCTGATGTTAATAATTGGTCTGATGATGATTTCATGTCATTAAAATTTACACTTCAATATTGCCTACCTCATATTCGTTATTTTCATATTTCTGGAGAAGATGTTGTAAATAAGATTAAACCTTTTCGAAAAATTCTTGATAGAGATTTATGGGTAGATATTAAAACAAATCACATAGCACCAAATATGCCAATTAGTTCAAGAATTTTACCTCGTAGAGAAGGTTTAACTTCTACATCATTTCAAAGTTCACCAATTAATAATAATAATAATAATAATAATAATAATTCTTCTCCATCAGATCAATCATTTACATTAACATCAAATGTTATTACAAAAGAAGATGCTGAATTAATTTCTTCATGGATTGATTATCGTTCATCTTATGATATTACCGAAATTCCTTATGATTTTAAATTATTACTTAGAGGAAGTCAAGATGGATTCACACCAGATATCTTTCAAAATTTATGTGATGGAATATGTAATACAGTCGTAGTTCTAAGAGTTCAAAGAACTAAAGAAATTCTTGGTGGATATAATCCTCTTTCATGGAAAAAACCAACGAATGTTACTGGAGCTGAATATGCTGAAACAAATGATAGTTTCATTTTTTCTTTAAGAAATAGTTATTCGAACAATCCAATTATTAGTCGTGTTGAAAATCCAATAAATGCGATTAGGTATCATAGGAATTGTGGTCCTATTTTCGGTGATAATGATCTTTTTATGCACATGAATGTTAAAAATGAAACAAAATGGCATTGTAATCAACGTCAATATGAAAAACCTATTAGGTGTACTGACTCATTTTTTGATATAGAAGAGTACGAAGTTTTTCAAATTTGTAAAAAACAATAAAGTTTTGTTTTATTCAAAGAATTTCTTCATATTCAATTTAAATAAGGATTTTGAATGAAAAGGACGTTTTAAAGTAAACGAAAAAAAAATAATTTATTCAATTGTATACATATCATCGTAGTAGTTACGGACTTTAATATTTATAAGATTATCTATTACGTACTGTACGTACTTAAAAATGGTTACTTATCAGTTATTACTGTGTAATAACAATAAAATCTCCTTCCTAATGACTTTTCCCTGAATTCTCTTCAATACAAAATTAGTTTATAATCATTTGTAATTAATATAGTATAAATGAATTTCAATTAAATTGAAATTTATGAAAAAACATTTAACTATGAAACTAAAAAAACTCGGGATTTTTTTGTAGTTTAAATGAATAAATTCATGTGCTAAAAAAATGTGAGATGATGTAACGTGTATCCTCTATCGCTATGCAAATTATTCGAACGGCATTCTGACTCAAATTCAACTACATTGGTATGAAAATAGTAAAGACAGAAATTCACAGCTATGTCGTTTATATTCGAAACATTGGAGATGTTAGTAACAAGGATAGTTGTATGTGTATGATAAATTTCATCGTTAGTACGGGGTGAAAAGCTATTAAAAAATTATCGGAATGTTAAGTAGATTAATTAAAGCTTCTAGAACTAGTTCAGTTTATAGTAAAATTTATCAGTTTATTATCTTTAATAAATAGTACTGTGTACCGCATAAGGTGAGATACGTATTTTTCAAAAGAAGATTAATTCTCTATTCTTAAGATTCGAAATGATCAATAAATGTTCTTATCAGAAAATATTTTTGTGAAATTTCGACCGAATTCATTTTCTAAGATTAGTGAGTATTGAATTTTTATTTTAACTTGTTGGATTCTAATTTTGCCACTGTTTTAATTCAATATTTTTAAAATTTTTATCGGAATTGTTTCTTTTAATTACTCATTAATTTTAATTGATATCTTGCTCTCGTTCAATCAACAATAACATGTATTTTCATGAATTTAGCATTTTAGTTACAGTCTGAATACCGTTATTGAGAAAATTACAATCTACATCACATATTTATATACTGTATATAATTTTTCATTAAGAACAATTGCTATGTATAATATATTTACTCTGAAATATATTGAGAAATCTTACACAATGCTTCTATCACATTTCTTCTTCCATCTTGCTTAACTCCACGTGTGTCGCTTAGTCCAGGGGTGTTAATAAAGATAAATTTACAGGCAGAATTATCAGGATGAACGATGGTATTTTGTAGTTTGACTCTTGGTTACATCACCAACTCTTGATTCCGAATGTTTATAAAAAAAATTGAAATAAAGTTAATTAATAAGGGAATACTTAAATTATATATACAATTTTCAGTAACTTTATAAAAATTTTATTGGAATCACAATTTTTGGCTTATCAAAAAGTACCACCTAAAAAATAATTTATCATCGTATTGATAATGGTAGACTTTCCGGCCCTAGTTCCACCTAATAATAAAATTTTGAAAACACCCGGCTCTCACTTAGACAAAATTTATTTTCCTTCGATTAGATTTTTGAGAAAAGTTAGTATTATATGTATCATAATCAAGTTGAATATTATTTTTTTGATTTTGATTTGAGATGCCTCCATGAATTGGGAAAACATTTCTTGGTAATTAGGAGTAGTCTGTTGTTGTTGATGCTGTGAAAATTGCTGTGGGAACTGATGCGGAAATTGCTGTAGAAATTGCTGCGAATATTGCTGTTGAAATTGCTGCACAGATGGATGTTCTTATACGACAGAGTGAAACCCGCGCAGAAATATTGACGCAAATCCTACCTAAAATAATAACTAACCCTAATTAAGTATAGATCAGCATCAAGAAAGTTATCATCCTCACCCTTTCATATAATTATTATTAAATGGCGGAATACATGGATGTCTGTGATCTTTGGGAATTCTTATGAAAAAAAATTTTGTTGTAAGGCTCTCTTTCTCCAAATTTTTTGTCAGTAGATTTGTTTGGAATTCTTTCAGGAGTTACTTCATAATTTTCGAATGAAATGTTATTATGCGAGATGTCAAATCTAAACATTACATTAAATAACTCAAGTTAGACATATTTATTTTGTAAATTATTTAACTCACTTTCATATTCTTGGTTACTGTTTGTTCGTTCCTTATTATACATTTCTTGTAATCTTATGGCTAGAGGTCGGAACCGGTTGTGAATTCAAGAACCGAATTAGATTTTCGTGTAATATAAAACCGGTTATTACAGCTGTTTTCATAAATTCTGGGACACCTAAAAATTTATTCGTTTCCCGAAATTTCTTCGGTTTCGTTCTG